AAATTTTTTTTAAGAATGAATGTATTGTGATAATTCTTCTCATAATTCCTGTTGGTAGAGAGATTGCATAGAGATGAGACTGGGAATGATTGACTCAACCCAACATTAACAAGTAGAATTTATTTCATGTCTTAAACATGCAAGGAGTAGGAGACAAGTGGAAGTAGTTTTACAATTGGTGTGAGTTATGTCACCTGTTACATATCTGACTAGAGTAGACCTACTTTTAGTAAAGGTAGGGTCATAAAATTCCATGAAGCTTTCACTACAAGTATTTGCTACAAAACCTCCTTTTTGGGAAAGTTCCTTGGTTACATTTATTTTGCTTCGACAGAATGTTTATTTAACATTGATTCTATCTAAATGGATTTTCAATTTATGTTCATTCAAGGGTTTTGTTTAAAAATCTGCTGACATTTGTTCCATTGGGATGTATTTAATGACAACACCTGACTTAATGTTTTTGTGTACATAGGATATTTTTCTTACTACATGTTTTGTTTCGTAATTAGACTTATCACAGCCTGATTGTTGTCATAAATTGTACTTGTCTTGATAAAACCTTCTTCTCCCAATTCATTTAGGATGATTTTTAACTATTTTGATTATCTTGTAGTTTTAGTTAACATTGTCAATTTGCTTTCATATGTTGATAATGACATTTGATTCTGTTTTTTGCATTTTCATGATACTAGATTTTTTAAGTTGAAAAAGGTATGCACTGTTTGAATGTTGACCTACATTTCTGTCTTTCCAATTAGCATTCACATATCCAATTAGTTTGGTAATTTGGTTCTATTTCTATATGATTCTTTTACTTTGGATTCCATTTAGGGATTGTATCAGTCATTTCACTGCTTGAACATGCATCTTCTTTGGATTTCGCATATACTGTGACAGTCGCTGATAGGTTTACACAAATTGGGTCTTGTTGTCAAACTGACATACATTATGCTTCTTAAGATTTCTTGGAAAATTTTTTTCTACATGGTGATCCTTTGCAGTCATTCAATTTTTGATTAGGATCCATTGGTGTGTTTACTGATTTACAATCTTCTATTTTGAATTTTCGGGGTATTTCTTTTATTTGTCTCTGTTGCGTCAATTTTCTCCCATTTTCGTCAACAAATTCATTTTGTTTGAATTTGGTTATTTTGATTCCTAAAGTGCATTTAGGACTCCCCAGGGTAACTAAGTCAAAACATTATGCAATTTTTGCATAGCTTCATGTTTGATTTTCTCAATGAGGATATCATTATCATATCGTCGACATGCAATCCCAAGTATAAAACGTTTTCATCTAGTTCAGTGTTTCTCAACGGGGGCGATATCGCCCCCATGTGGGCGTTTTTCTATGTTGAGGGGACGATTAGTAACAATTTATATTTTGGGGGGCGAAAAACAATTTTCTGGGCGATATAGTAAAACATTATATTAAGAATAATTAGCTATTTTATTCGTTATATCGTACAATCATTAAACAAATAACATTCGACTAGTCACTAGTCTATTCAATGCAGTACGAATTTGGCGTTAGCCTTGGCCCTCGGCATCAGAATTTTGAAGTGAAGGGGGCGATACTACGTAACGGTTTTACTAAAGGGGGCGATGCTATGTTGAAGGGGGCGACGATTCGTTAGAGGTTGAGAAACACTGATCTAGTTGGTACTTGAATACACATGGATTGGCTTCTAGTTATTCAAAACTGTTCTGGCACAAGTGATTGGTAATTGTTTTACACCTGTTTTTCTAGTTTGTTTTAAGTTGTAGGTAGAGCAATTTAGCTTGCATATTTTTGATTAGTCTCTTTCTTTGATGAATCCTATTGGTTGTTTCATATATATGCATTCCTCCAACTTGCTGTATAGTTAAACTGTTTTAACATTGTATTGGCGTACTTTGCAATTTTTTTGGGTTGCCAACACTAGTAAGATTCTTTGTTTGCAATTTTGTCAGGAGTGAAAATGGTTTCTTGTAATTTATTTCATGTTTTTTGAAACATCTTAGGGCTACCAATCAGGCCTTTTTTATATTTATAGATCCATCTGGATTCATTTTGTTATTGTATACCCATTTTTACTTCATAACGTTGGTGTTTTGTCCTCATTCAACTAATTCCCATATCCTGTGCCACATCCTCCTCAGTGTGGGTTCCTGTCCACGGTGAGGGGACCTCCCAGAAATGATTTAGTAACTCTTCTTTACCATCTGTGGAATCTGAGTGCCCACCTATTTGTTTGCCATGTGTTGTGATTTGTATGCTGGAAAGGGGGTTTATGGTAGTTGAGGGGCAAGATAATGTTCCCCGCACACACTGCTATGTCAGGCTCCATTTGAGTCAATAAGCTGGTTGTTGAGTCCATTGGATCTTGGTTCAAAGGCAACTGATCAATGCAGATTGGGCAGATATATCTCTGCTTGACAATCTAGTGATTTTTTGCTCATTGCATACACTTATGCTCCAGTACAAATTTACTGACTATTATTATTTATTGTACTATACATTTTTTTAATGAATGCAAAGCAACTGATCACATGTAACATGTTATGAGGAATAAGCTTTAACACATTGGTGCCATTCCTTTGCCAAGAATTCAAAATGAATATGCCCAATGTATGGAATGAAATCGAAGTTCTAACCGAAGCTAAAAACTTTATTATGGGAAGACAGTATTTAAGATACTCTAATGAAATAAAATGAACATGGGTATTAAAATCAATCACAACTTTCTTCACATTGACACATTCAATTTTATGCAGAATACAAACATTTTCTGTACAAAAATCCTAAGTCCAGTTATGGGACTTATGAACTTATTTAATAAAATAACCTCTTTTTATTATGATTTCCATACAAATATCTTAATTATAAATTACATTTCAGAAACATTTTATTAATTATGAGTGACTATAATCTTTTTTCCTAGATTTCTTTTTTATTCTTTTCTTTAAAAATGTTTACAATGGCATCTCTGGAATAACCTTTTCCATTATCTCTTTCCTACTCAGATTTTTCTTTGAGCAACTTTAGATGAGTGTAGTTGTATTTAGTATAACCTGTTTCTTTCAAAAATAAAAATTTTTGATTGTATCAACTATCGAAAATTTATATTACAAACTAACTTTTTTTAACAAAATAAAAAAAGAAATATTGGACACTTTCTTGAACATATTCTCAATGCTTAGTTATTAAAATGGCTTTAACACCATTATTATAATTAGTTTAATCACATTATTAAGGCTCGTCTTAGATACAATGGCAGTTTTAGATACAGGGGTCCCAGGCAGAATCTCGTGTTTCTAGGAGCCTCACATGCATGAATTGATATCTGGTGTTGGTCCAGCACTCAGAATCTGGTACAGCGGAATCCTAGATATAATACAATAGCTAGTATAATGTAATATAGGTTTTTGCATTATATAAAAGTGCCTCAAAAATTCATGTTTGCCTAGGGGCACACACAACCGAAAACTGCCACTGTAAAGGCTTCTTTAATGGCTTTATTTAGTAACATTCAAAGAAACAGTTGCTGTATTTAGAATTTCAACAAGATTGTTAAACATTTGTGTACAACTCTGTTCTTTTTTGAGTTTTACACAGTACATGCAATATATATATATATTTATAATATTTATATTTAAATACCTTTAATAAAGGTATACCTTTATTTTTACCTTTATTTTTATATATATTTTTTACTTTTATTTTGCAATCTCGATGATCTGTTATAAATCCTGACGTATCATCATATTTCACACCACAGTTGCAATAAGTGCATTAAGGCTTTCAGAATACAAAACTGATGAGGAATGTTGGTAAGAATTGTTTTAAAACAAGGCTAATTCATTTAAGATATTCCATTTGTTGTGCAGATACCACATCTTAGCCTAGCCAAAAGGCCTCAATTAAAGCAGGGCACAGAAGCTTCCTAGGCCCTAGAGCTTACAAAACAGATTGCTAACTGAATACAAACCCTGCACTTGATCTTAGCCAAAAGGCTGAGAAGCAATAAAAAGCAATGAGATCTTTCATATAAAATATTTATAATTGTTGAGATCAGCAATGAGCATTCAGTTTTTTAGGTTTCACACCCCTGACTAATGTTATTTTTCATCATTTTCCTACTGAAGGGATTGAATGTATTATCCCATATGGAAGTATAAATAGGTGAGATGCAGATGATATTAAAAAGTTAGAAAAAAGTTAAATTCGTAATATCTAATGTATAAATTATTTTAGGTATTATTACATTATTATAGTGACTCTCTCCAGAAGTACAGTGAGTTCTCTTTTCATTTTTTTATTGCATCATTTATTTTATCTTCATTTCAATAAAAAAAATTTTTTTGGCATCCTACCATACCAGATGACAAAGCAACTCAATATTTTATAGATTTTTCGAGATTAATTTGAGATTCTAATCTATATGAGAGAAAGTTTACAATGAACTATCATTTATACTACCTTCACACATATGGTTTATTCTTCTCTTCGATTGACCTACAATCTTTATGTGGAAGGAGATCAAGATGAAAATGTGAATCTTGAGCATAACTTCTATGTGTGCATTATAAAGTATTTCCAACATTTGTGACTTTTGATGCATATTAACAGACATGTTATCCATTATTAGAGGTGACAATTAGTTGGATTAAAAAACTTGGCAGGTAAACTTTGCAAGCTAAAAGATGAAAACGAGAAAAAAAGGAACACAGAAAATAAACGCTGAATACAAACCAAATGAAAAAGCAGAAAAGAGTTTGATTTCCAGTTGCAAACCATCAAATTGTGCTCGTTCCAAGAACGAAGTATCCAAATGCTCTGCTTCTAGACACATGGCTTCCAAGTGACAAACTGTCTTGGAAGGTTTCTCGAGTAGACGTCCAGCCAGATTGTTACTACCGAAGGAAATTAACACGTGGATAAATTTCCCCAAGAGGCCTTCATCGACATTTTTATATTTTATCCACGATAATCTTCCCGCTTTGAGAGCAGAAAAATGTGTAAAGATGCCCGAAGCTTCGAAGATGTTAGGGACAAATGGAAAACTCTAGATTTGAAGATAAAAGATTGTTACATAAATCTAAATAAAGCAGAATGGGTGAGATATAGGAAAGAAAAGGTGGCATTTCTTCTGGTAGTATCCTGTCCTTCTTGAGTTTTCCCACAAGAGCAAAAACTTTACCTGCCCAAAACCAATCCTTCGTCGTTTATTTTTTCCAACTATTTTTCCTCTAATTACAGACCAATCTCTCTGACAAGTTGACTGTGTAAAGTCTTCGAGAGAATGGTAAACAGACGCCTGATGTTCCTCCTAGAGGAAAAGAAGTACTTCTCACCACATCAGAGTGGATTTCATAGGAACAGAAGTACCATGGACAACTTAGTATACGTGAAGCATTTGTTAAACGACAGCACTTAGTGTCTGTGTTTTTCGATATTGAGAAGGCCTATGATTGCTGTTGGCGATACGGGATACTCTGTGATCTGCACCAATTTGGATTGCAAGGTAATTTGCCAATTTTTATAAAACACTTTGTACAGAGTCAAAGATTTCAAGTCAGGATGGGCACAACTTTATCTAGGCTCTTCACACAAGAAGAAAGTGTCCCTCAATGCTCTGAGTGTGAATCTGTTCCTAATTTAAATCAATAGCATAGCTAACTGTCTTCCTCCCAGCGTGAAACACTCTTTATGTGGATGACTTTCAGATCGCCTGCCAGTCTAGTAACATGAGTTTCATTGAGAGACAACTGCAAAGCTCTTTAAATCACATAGAAAATTGGTCAAAGACTAATGGTTTCAATTTTAACATAGAGAAGACCTCGTGCATCCACTTTTGCCGAAAGCGTGGTTTGCACCTGAATCCCGAAATTTACCTAAATGGAGTCAAAATCCCAATGGTGAATGAGGCAAAATTTTTGGGTGTTTTGTTCGACCATAAACTGACGTTTTTGCCACATTTGCGCAATTTGAAGAGTAGATGTCTAAAATCAGAACCTTTTAAAGGTATTATGCTGCTCATCCTGGGGAGCAGACAAATGTTCTATGCTCAGGATTTATAGGGCCATTGTCTGCTCTAAGGTAGACTACGGTTGCATTGTTTATGGCTCTGCGCGAGAATCTACTCTTCGGATGCTGGATCCAATCCATCATCAAGCACTGCGTTTCTGCACTGGTGCTTTTCGAACTTCTCCAGTTCAAAGTCTGTACATGGATGCTTATGAGCTTCCACTATCTCTTAGGAGAGAACAGTTCTTTCTTTTTTATTACATTAAACAGAAATCTTAGAATAAACTTTCAGCTGATTGTTCAGGTACTCAGCTGAAAAGATTCTTTGCCGCTTGGACAAGTAGTGTCCCTTCATTTGACATAAGAATGGAGAATGTAAGCAGCATGATTGACCTGGACACAAATCACATCTCACAGGTTGAGGCTGATACTATTCCATTTTGGTCAACTTCACCGATAAATGTTGACTTAAGCTTAAAGCAGTTTTCCAAAGAAACCACGCCAGATTATGTCTACAAACAGCAGTTTGCAGAAATTCAAAATCGTGACAGGAATTTAATTCCTATTTACATTGATGGATCTAAATTAGATAACTATGTTGGCTTAGCCTTTGTTTGCCAGGATGAAATCGTGGCAGAACAAATTTCACCGAATTCTTCCATCTTCACTGCGGAGTTTCAGCCTATTTATTTAGCCCTAAAATATATAAATAGGAAAGGTCATCATTGCTGCGTGATTTACACTGATTCAGTTAGTGCACTTCAGGCTTTGATCTTGTGTGAACCTAGTTCTTACTCTATAGTGATTAAAATTCAGAAACTAATTTGCCATCTCACTACGAGAAATTTTTCTGTAAAGTTTTGTTGGGTCCCAGGCCATGTGAGTATGAGAGGAAATGAAGAAGTTGACACAGCTGCAAAGGGAGCAAGTCTTTCACAGCATACAATGCGTATTGAAGGAAGTGATTTGAAGCTAGTCATTAAAAAACGATTAGCAGAGAGATGGCAAGTTGTGTGGAATGCACAAATCCACAATAAACTATACGAGATCAAACCTTTGATAGAAAATTGAACACATAATAGGCAGTATGATAGGAGATCTGAGGTAGTCCTTACTCGTTTGACAATTGGACACACCCGACTGACTCATCAATATCTTTTGAAGGGTGATGATGAACCGTTATGTCAGTACTGCAACTGTACTGTAAGAGTTAAACACATACTTTGCAACTGCATTGCTTTTGACCAAAGTCAAAGACAACATTTCAGAAATGCAAGTGTGAAATCAGCAATTTTTACGCCAATGTCGGAAAAATCTTTGTAAACAACTCCGAGGAAAAACCCACTCTTGGTGAGAAGTATATCGGAGGTCACCAATTGTTTTCACATTAAGGTGGGAAAGTTGACACTTAATTGATCGGAATGCATCGTAAGTGTCAACAGAAGTTGATCACGTAACTCATTTCCCACGAATAACGTATAAAAGCTCGAGTCCCCGAAAGCTCAAGGAGACCCCTCGGAAGTTATACTTGGTAGATGTGCCATATTTGTCTCCCTACTCCGGATTGAAAGGACATATGACCAACCACAGCCATTTGAACTTCCATCGCCATTAACGAACATATTCAACGAATGCATATTAGACATATCTGCATAGAGGTATTTGTACTTTTTAGAGCTTTGTGAACTCTCTCTCAGACTAGCAGGTAAAGCTATTAGAGCGTCCCTTTTGTAAAGTGAACTTATTTAATCGCATTTAACCTATTTATTTTAGCTTAGTTATATAAATAAATGCTTGTTTAGTTTTTAAACCTGTCTCCTGTCTTTGAAGGACACCTGCCGACTTACCGACGCACTCCCCACTCAAATTTTTGCCCTCCTAGCCATCCGACAAGACGAGAACGGGTTTTACCAACCTGTTGCAGAGTAAGTGGTCATTTGGGATGGGCCCAGTGGCCCACTGCTAATCACACACAAGTATGATAGAGATTTTGGGCCAGAGACCAAATTTGGACAACATAGTGGACTTTCTGAAAGTCAATAATATGTATAGAGAGATTTGATTACTTATTTATTTTACAGTTTTATTTACTTTGATATGCTTATTTATATTGTTGTATATATTTGTTGTTGTTATTTATTTATTTATTCATTTATTTAATTATGTCTTATGTTTATTATCTGTGATGTTTAAAATTTTTACTGTTTGCCCTGGTGCAGCTTAGCCAATATGGCTCTTGTGCCAAAAAACTAAAACCAACCAACCAACCATATATTTATAAAGGCACCTAAAAAAGATAGCCAAAGTTATTTTAACAGAAAAGGAAGACATTTCATTTTGTTACAAATAATTTGTGATGCAGAAATGCAGATAATTTTGTTGGTTGTCCTGGAAGTTCCAATGACTCTTGGGTGTGGAAACAAAGTCCAATATACAAATTATTACTGCAGGAACACCAAAATATTTAGGAAACGATTATTATTTATTAGGTGATTCTGCATATTTTTTAGATACTTTTTATTGGTACCATTTAAGGATTTTGGTAGTCTCATTATAAAACAAACTTATAATAAAAGACACAGTTCTGTCAGAGTAGTTGTGGAACAAATTATAGAACTTTTGAAAGGACGTTTCCACAGACTTAAATATTTAGACATGGAAAATATCGCAGCCATGTCTAAAGTTGTTATGACTGCATGCATTTTGCATAATTTATGCATTGAGAAAGGAGAAAAGGATATTTCAGAAGACATCTTACTTGATAACTGTAATGATGATGATGGTGATAATTTTCCTGAAAACACACAAAATCGTGCAGCTGCCATAGAAAAACGAAACAGAATAGCAGATTTCTTGATGGAGAAGTAAAATATATTTTAAGTACATCATTTTTTATGAACTAATCATATAAAATAAAATTTAAATTAGTTATATAATCTTGTATTTTTTTGTATAAGTACATTTTATTTTAACACATTATATTTGTAATATTGTTATATACAGGGTTCTGATGCACCTGGAAAGTGAGGGATTTTTCATTAGTGTTTGGAAAAAGTCATGGAAAGTAGAAAGTAATTATAAGAAATTAAACCTATCATGCAATTTGCCAAACAACACTAAACTGATAAGTTAATAAATATTTTAGATGAAAGTTAAAAGAATGCTTCAAGTACATGTTTTCATCATCCTAGGATAACATATACAATTATAAACTTGATGCAATATGTTGATTAGTAGCACTGAATTCAGTTTTATTTCTGATGATTTTTATAAAATTCAGAAAATTTATTAAGAGAGAAATTTAATAAATATTTACTTTTGTTCATGGATTATACAGGATTTGTTAATGAATAATAAATAATGGCTTTTTATTTTTTCAAAGCCACATACATTTATGAGTGTGGATTAATAACAGAATAAACTAATTTTAATTTAATAAAACATTTATTCAACAATTATAAAAAGCATGTAATTGTTAATTAGAAAAAGTAACTAATTATGCTATTGCTTTTTCAACTTCTTATTTGCATAGTAAGTCATAAATTGTTTTATTTTGTCAATGTGCTGTACTGCGAGGGTCAGAATTTACAAAGTTGGTCGGGATGTCATGGAATTTAAAACAAACATTTGAGTAGGAACATTATATGTATGAAATTTGAAAAGTTAATCAATTCAAAATTTTATAAGAAAGTTTAAATTTGCACACTTGACAGACTATTTCAAAATTGAAAAGAATACACTTCAAGACAAGGAAGGTGTTTCATGTAAGAGATAAAAAATATATTTGAAATATTCAAGTGTCAGAAATATTTCTGTTGAACATAGGAAAATAATATGTTCAACTGTCAGTAGATGTGTTTATTATTTATTAGATTAATTATCTGATGTTTGCCACACTTATTAAAAGCAAAAAATGAAAACTAAATAAAAAATGTTTTTTAACATGATAATTTGTTTGAATTTTCATTTATCTCAAGGTTCTTGTTTTTAAAATTAAAACAAATGACTAAAATACATAAATAATATAATTAACATTTTATTTAAAAATCATAAAATAGTAAAATTATTTATTCATTTAATTACTTTTTTTAACTATATTTAATATATCTTTTAAAATTTTTAATTTTCAATTTCCTCTAATTTCTTCCACCTTTCTTCCTCTGATTCTTCCTGTTTTTTCATATAATTTAAAAACCACTCTGGAGGCTCAGATGATGATTTTTTTCTTTTGTGGTGGTGGTGAAAGTGGAGGTGCTGGTGGTGCTTTTTTTCACAAGTTGAAGCTAACAGTGTTTTAGGAGGAGGACTAACATTGGCTTTCAAACCAAAGAATTGGTTGAAATCTTCATGGAATTCCCAAAAAGGAAGTCGACCACTTCCAGATTTTCTCATCTGGTCTTTCCTCCTCCTATAAGTTAATATTAAATTTTGCCACTTCCGATCACATTCCACTGCTCCTATGTTGACACCTTCTTTTTTCAATTTTACACTGGCATCTCCCCATAGTTTCATTTTTTTGCAATTTGGCTTCTCAAATAGTGAGTCCATTTCTTGCGGAATTTCAATAAGCTTTTTTATCAAAAATGATGTCCAAACAGTTTCCTATAAAAAATGAAGTTTCATCAGCATATTTAAGTGTAAATTTTATAAAACTATTTTAAACATTACTGTTACTAAGTAAAAAGGCTACTTAGAGATGTTATTCAATAACAAAAATATAAAAAAAATATATTTTAAATAAAACTAATACAATTAAATACTTACAGAATCTGATTTGTTTTCTTTGTTATTTGTCAAAACTGAGGCTGTACTAGTATTTAAATCTGCAATTTAAAATAATACAATTACTTTTTTCATCTATCCATCCACCTTACAAGTTTTACTTAAACATATATGTATGTCTGATATTCTGAGATAACTACTTAAATATAATTTAAACTATTTCATTTACATTTTAGAAAATATATTATATAATTTTTAAAAATATCTATTAAATTATCTAACCTTTACTGTGCTCTCATGGCTGGGAAACATTAATTTAAAATCCCCTCGATGTGGGTTCCTGTCCATGGTGAGGGGACCTCCTAGAGATGGTTTAGTAACCTTTCTTTACTATCCCTGGGATCTGAATGCCCACCCATGTGTTTGCCATGCGTGGTATCCCGTATGCCAGGAAGGGAAATCCTGGTAGTTGAGGGGCAACATAACGTCCCCGACACACTGCTTTGGCCCCTGCTTCGTATAAACGGGAGGCTCAAATCATGCTCTGTTTGTGTCAATCGGCTGGTTGTTGAGTCATTCTTGACTTCAGCTTGAAGTCAACCGATCGATGCAGACTGGGCAGACACGTCAGACAAGATGTGCTTTTATTGACTGCATTTTGAGGGTATAGCTCCTGGGAAACCCTGGTATGACGGTCTATGGGACTCCCATGTGACGGCATCCCCTTGTTGGGCCCCATGGTGGGTGCGGTCACTAGGATCTGAATAATTATCTCTAAATATGGATTTTCTAAAATCTAAAACATCTACCAATGCACTGCCACAAAAGGAGGTCAATTCCTCCAATCAACCAACCTACCTTATTGTTCACGCTACAGGAGAAACACTTTTGTCTAAACACTTTCCTTTTTTAATCCAGAAACTTTTCAGTCGACCATTGGGCACCTTAAAAAAAATACAAAAATTGAGGTCAGGAGATCTACTTGTGGAAACAGCCTCCCCTGAACAGTCAGAAAAACTCTTGAAAATGGTGTCTCTAGGAGACATACAAGTCACCATCACATAACATACAAGTTTGAACTCTTCACGTGGTGTGATATCTGAAATCGATCTGATGTCTGAGGATGAATCAGATATCTAGATTGGTTTTTCAGATCAAGATGTTACTGCTGTTCGACGCATCTCCATTTGTCCAGATGGCAAGTTAATTCCTACTAAACACTTAATTTTAACCTTTAACAAACCAACTTTGCCATCTGCCATCACAGCAGGTTATCTGCGCTGCCAACTTCGTTTGTATGTTCCAAATCCGCTGCATTGCTTCAAATGCCAGTGATTTGGACATTCACAAACATCCTGCCGTGGGAAAAGCACATGCGCACAGTGTGGAATTGAAGGTCACGAGAGTACCAAGTGCACCATCTCTCCATGCTGTGTGAATTGTAAAGATGCCTATCCTGCCTACTCAAGGAAATGCCCTGCATGGCAGAGAGAAAAGTAGATTCAATGGGTAAAATTCACAAATAATATACTATACCCAGAAGCCCGCCGCATGGTCACTCAAACTACAACATTAAAACAAAAAACATTTGTTTCTGTTTTGAAATCCACAGAAACATGTGGAGTTCAAACAGATATTTCTGTATCACCAACTGAATCTCTCACTCGCCATCCAAGATGTTTACTGATCCCGCCTACACAAGCAGAAGAAACGGCAAACACAAAGACCAAAACTCCTGTAACTAAAACGGGTAACAACCAGAAATGTGCATTCTAAAAAGGCTAATAAGAACCCACTGAACAAACAAAAATTGAAATCAGCCCTCTATAAATTAAAGAGATCAAAGATTCAATCCATGAGTGAGTTCTCTGATATTTCTGATGAAGAGAATAATATGGAGGGGACCCAACCACCCTCACCTTCAAAAGGAAAATTCTCAGTAAAACTGAAGAGGGACACTTTTGCAAAGACTGCTGCATCTAACACATAATGAATTATAAAATAATCCAATGGAACTCTCGTGGTTTCTGCAACAACTTCTCTGACATTAAACACTTGACATCATCTACCTCATCTCTCTGCACGGCACTCCAGGAAACCCATCTGAAACCTGGAGAAAGAATTACTTTAAAAGGATTCAATCTCTACCACAAGGATGATGATAGCCACAACTGTGCCAGTGGCGGTGTGGCTATTTTGGTTACCAATCGCATTCCATCCTTACTGATACAAATAACAACAGAGCTACAAGCTATGGCAGTCAAAATTTCAATTGGCGTAACTGTCACAGTTTGTTCTAAATACTTGCCACCAGATGTCAGAGTCAATGAGAATGAACTGGACGCCTTGGTTGAACAGCTGCCAACACCATTCCTTCTACTGGGTGATTTCAATGGCCACAATCCTATGTGGGGCAGTCCCGACATCAATCGTCGAGGCAGAGCCATTGAGAGATTTATAGGTAATCATCAACTGTATCTATTTAATACTGGAGAAGTGACATACTTCCATGCCCCATCAAGAACGTTCACTGCCATTGATCTAGCATTAGCAACTCCTAATCTGTTTTTAGCATTTACATGGGAGGTTGGATCTTATCCACTCTCTAGTGACCACTTCCCAATATTTCTAAAATACTGAGGCAGAGAAAGCTGTGAAACAGCCCGTCCACCACGCTGAAAACTAGAAACAGCAGATTGGCCTGCATTTTCCTCTTTGGCTAACATCACTGAGGAAATGGTCAATACTGCTGATATCAATGATGCAGTTGAAGTTGACATCTTGTGTATTATTCAGGCAGCTGAGAAAACAATGGGAAAGACATCAACAAGATATTCAAATCATTCGAAACCATGGTGGAACCAGAATTGCGAGGCAGCATTTAAAGCACAAAAGAAAGCTTGGGGGATTTTCAGAAGATTCCCCACTATAAACAATTTGGTTGCTTTCCAAAAAGCAAAGGGAAATGCCAGAAGAATAAGAAGGCAAAGCCAAAGGGATTCTTGGAGAAAGTAAGTTTCTAGTATAACATCGTCCACTAGCTCAAAAGCAGTCTTGGATAAAATCCATAAAATAAATGGGAAATATACTTCTCACTCTCTCCATGCTGGAAAATAATGGCACAATAATCAGCGATATACAGGGTA